GGGGGGGGGGGGGGGGGGGGGGGGGGGGGGGAGAGAATCTGGTAACTTTGTAGCAGAAAACACTAAGTGAAAAAGCTCCCGTTTTTGCATCGAGCACTCAAAATCCCTTGTTCATTAGCATTCTCCAACAATACTTAAAGCATCCAAATCAGAGCTCTTTCAGCTAAGTAGTAGCAATCCATTGCCAAAACCGGATATACTTTTTTCATCTGTACAACGAAATAAACTGGAACTGAAGAGACAAGCCAAGCGAAAGAACAAATCATGGAAAAAATGAATTGTTTTCTTTCGAGCAACTTCCGAAAATTAAGAGCTGATCAAAGTGTGCGACCGCTGATCATTGTGCCAACTCACCTTTTTATGGATTAAAAGATAATGCACACCCCGAAGCAAGCATGAGCATGCATTTTTTGCTGTAAACCTTTGGACGAACTGAAAATTTCAGGGTTCAAAAGTTAGGAGTTAGGAAGTCATCCTAAATCTAGTTTTGAAAACATAGATCAGTTTTACTAAATTTGGCTATAAACTTATGGGAAGACGGGCGGGAAGGGGGGAGGGGAGGGAGGACAGAGCGGCGGAGTGGGGGAGAAGGTGGTTAAGGTACCGTTGACGAAAAAGAAATAATACTGTCAACAAAAAATTCAAGCTTAATATTTATCTGATTTTTTCGTCTTTTTTTACCTGTTTTATGTTTTTAATTCTTTGTATTTGTTTCCTGAGGGTCTTTTTCTAAAATTGCTGGGAAGTGGTGAAGCAGCACTGATCAAAGCATTTGAAAGAATCAAATATCAAAGTATATATATATTTCCTATTTTCAGGTGATTGCAGCACTTGAGACTCTGGAATCACTTGCCAATCATAATGAAAAAGAAAATGAAGAAATCTTGATGTTGAAAAAAGCAGTTGAAAGGCTTGAAAATGATAAACAAGTTAAACAGCAAGATAGGATCAAATTTGAAATGGTGGGTTTTTTTTAATATTTACTATTGATTTTGAAATTTTTTATGTTCGTTTTTGGTCCGAAAAAAAGAGGAATGTGGAACATGAAATCCAAGAAACAAACTATAGATCAAGCATTTTTGATGAATTCAGTAAAACTATGGAGAAACACAATGAGCATTAGGGAAGCCTTGAAATAACTTTTCATGGTTCTGTTTTTTGTTTTTTTTTTTTGATCTTTTTGAACCTCTAAAGATATTTTTTCAAATTCCGAAGTCTAGGATTTTTCAAAAATTTTTTTTACGTTTGAGATAGATAGCGGTGTTGCAGGAGTTGGAAGCAGTTGAGGAGAATTATCGAAAAGAAATTGATGATTTATGGTCAACCGTCAAGAATCTACAGCTGGAGAATAAGCATTTGTCGTTGGTATCAGGAGATGCTCCTTCAACACCTACTTCTTCAGGATGTGAATGCATTTCTTCGAATTTGCAACTGTTCTTGTAAATACTATGAAATACCATAAACCCTAAGAATGTGCGAACAATCGGTGTGGGTGTTCTGTGTTAGTGATTATGCTGAAATGCTCCTGTACGCCCGACGTAGCCGTATCACACTCTTCGTTCTTCAGCTGCATACCTCTTGCGCATAAATTATTCAAGAATTTCGAGACTAAAGCCCAGCTAGAACAAAGATTTTTCATTTTGGTTCATACAGAATTCATTATTTTGATTTGAGAAGCCAAAATAGTTCTGAAGTCAAAATATTTCATTGTTTTGATTTGTTTTTAGAAATCCCTTTGTGTGATCTCGAAATAGTTTTTTTTTTTAACGCATTTACATGAGTTATTGGTCAGTAATTCAGTCCGAATGCCATACGGAATTACACTGCGCAAGCTGTTTCTCTTTAGGTTTTTGTAGCACAGCAAGGCGGCTAATACATATTA